AGTGGAGCCCACGGGGCAGCCCTTCCTAGGAGTGTGGCTAAGGCCGTGGCAGAAAGATGAGCCCGACTGGCGAGGGCAGGGTGCTAAGGGGGGAGGTACGCTGGGCTGAGGGTGCAGTCGAGCTACGGGGGAAGACGGAGGCTTTGGCCGGCGATCCAGGGAGCTTGGGGCAGTGTTCTAGCCCGTGTTTATTTTCAAACCGAATTCCACTTGTGTGGGGTGGGGGCGGCTGGGCTTTTCAAAGGCAGTTTAATAAAAACCTGCTGTCTGCTTCTTGGCCGCTGCGAGCGGGGATCGGGTTGAACCAAAGAGCAGCAAAAAAAAGACACTTGGTGACAAAGCCCCGTCTTTATAGTCAGCCGCTGCTTGTGCCTCGGCCGAGATGTCTGAAATTCTTATGGCTGACTATGAAGTGGGTCCCGGGGCCGCCCACCTCGGGATGATCCATTGATGCGAATTCATCTGGCTCGTCTGCCTTGCCGCTGCCTCCCATCAGGCGTCGGTTCCCCAGTTTTTAAATGATCAACAATGAGGGGGATTGTTGAATTTTGCATTAAAAATATGACTTTAGAGGAAAACAAAGAGGCTTTCTGTCCGCGGGGCTCTCATCTCCCAGCCCTACAGAGCGCTTGCCACAGCACGCAATGCACAGAACGTGACAGGAGCCAGCGATTCCGTTTGACGTCAGAACGGGGGACAAGTGTCAAACAGATGCAAGCTCCAGCTTAAACCAAAGCATGATTCGATCTGTCCCCGGGTTCAGCCCTGGCCTGGTGGGGCCTGCTCACGCCTGCTCTTTGTCCTCTGTAGCACGTCTCGTGCCCAAGTGCTTCACGAACCCTGTCAAAATGCAGCTGCCTCTGGGGTGACGTGCAGCCACTGTCGAAATGACCCATCAGCACTGCACATTCTGGAATCCAGTGTGCCGTTTCCCTGCGGGGACAATTGCCCAGCTGACATTTCCCGAGGTCGCTGGCCTTCTCGCGAAGAGGGACGATGGGATCCAAAAGCGCTGCAGGACCTTGGTGTCTCATCTTCCCAAAGGGCAGTGCCCCCTGCAGTGCAGTCTGCTCCCTAGATTTGGGATGGGGCGGGAATCTCCACTGCAGTAAGAGACCCACGGCTTGGCCCCGGCTGGCCCGGGTCAGCTGACTCAAGCTGCAGGACTGAACCTTGCAGTGGAGCTGTTCGGGTTCCGGCCCTGGCTCTGAAACCCTGCGAGGGCCTGGGCTCCAGCCCCCGTGTGCACTGCTCCGCCTAGGGCCGCCGCCTGAGCCCCGCGAGCCGGAGTCAGCTGACTCGGCGCTGCAGATTTCTATTGCAGTGCTAGGTGGTCGGTTTCAGGAGTGAACAGCTGTCTTGTCTCGCCGCTGCTGCCTGGCTCTCCCCATCGGGGCAGCCACCAAGGGGCTCTACTGGTCGCAGAGCGGGAGGCAGATGCTGCAGAGCCGGGGGCGCCACATTGGAAGGGGTCTTAAAACACCTGCTTAAGCTGGTGCCTGTCTGGGATGTAGCAGCTGAGCAGGGGGTGGCTGCTTGACCCCGAACGGCTCCAAAGGGGCAGAGCCCGGACCCTCTTCCCAATGCCCCTCGAGCCCTTTCTAAGGGCCAGCCGGGCTGCAGGGGGAGGCAGATTTTACACTTCGTTGCACAGGATGCTGGTGCAGTGATTGTGCGCTGGCGAATCTGTGGCTTGGTAAAAGGCGGGGCGAAGTGGAGCCATTTCGGTGGTGCTGGGTAGAGGCGATCTCTGCCCAGGTCCCCTGGTTACATGGGGACATCACACAGGGTGGAACCTGCCTGTATGCCGGGTGGCAGCCCTGTGGGAAGGCAGAACCTGCCGCCCCTCCCTCCACGTTCACACGTGCCCTGCAGCTAGGGCCCGGGATGGCATTGGCTCTCCAGCTGGGATCCCTGGGGCCTGGCCCGGGCCTGGCCCAGCCCTTGAGTCGCTGTGTGACTGGCCAGGCTGGGTCAGACCTGAGAGTCCCTCCAGTCCCGTGTCCTGGCTCCAGCAGGGGCCAGCCAGACGGAGGTCAGCCCCCGGCTTGCTGGGCTTTATATCCCTGCCACACTGTTAACCGTGATCGCTGGGCGAGGTCACTCCCTCTCTGCCAGCCCCAGCCTGGCTGCCTTCCCCGGTGGCTGGGAAGTGACGTTATGGGGCTCAGGAGCTCACCCGGAAGGTGATATGGAAGGGCCATGTGCTCTGTCGCCTGGCAGTTCTGCAGCTAACGCTCTGGGGTCCCGTGGGGGAAGCGTCTGCCATTGCATGCCGGCGCAGGGGGGAAGGGATCGGCCGGTCTAACGTTGGTCTCTTTTCTCACTCTCCTAGGGCTCTGGGTGCCGATGGAAATCTCTGAGCCAGTCCCCGGAGCAGCACCGGTAAGCCACACCGCTTCCTTAGCCCAAACAACAACTGGGGGCAGCAAAAGTCTCTTCTGACTCTGAGTACAGCAGCCTCCTTCCCCCTCTCCAAGCCAGAGCCGCTTCTGGCTACACCTTAGCATCTCGACGGGCTCCAGCTTCTGATCCGCTCTTGGGTGTGGGCCGTTAACAGTCGTTACCCCCAGTTGTGGCTGTGACGCCAGGCGCTGCCCACTCCTCCGCTGTCCCCGATCAGGCCTGCAAACCGGCTTGTGGTCTGTGGGGCTGGGCCAGGGCAGCGGGTAAGGGTGCCCTGCCGGCAAGGGAGGGAGGCTGATTGTGTGTGTAAAAAAACAACAAAAAACCCCAACCTAATATCAAAGAGAAGTTTCATGAATTCCTAAAGCTTCAGGGAAGTTTAAATGTTCCCTCTGCACCCCAAACGCAGCTGCACTGGGCTCAGGCCCGCTGGGCTCTCGACCCCTGCGAACAGGCCAAGCCGAGTGGGGATGCCAGCAGTGAACCAGCATCGGGGGGCAAAGTCAATTAGTGCCTCAGAAGCGTTCCATTTGTAACGAGCTCCCCTGGCTGGGGGCAGGCATGCCTGCGAAGGGGCCGTTGGGGCTGGGGACCGACGTGCAGCTTGGCCCTGTGGGAGTTCATAGAATCCTAGAACTGGAAGGGACCTCGAGAGGTCGTCTAGTCCAGTCCCCTGCACTTCTGGCAGGCCTAAGTATTGTCTAGACCATCCCTGACATGTTTGTCCAAACTGCTCTTAAAAATCCCCAATGACGGAGATTCCACAACCTCCCTAGGCAATTTATTCCAGTGCTTAATCACCCTGACAGTTAGGAAGTTTTTCCTAATGTCCAAACTAACCCGCCCTTGCTGCAATTTAAGCCCATTGCTTCTTGTTGTGTCCTCAGAGGTTAAGAACAATAATTTTTTTCTCCCTCATCCTTGATAAGTTTTCAAGTACATAAAAGATTGTCACGGGTCCCCTCTGTCTTCTCTGCTCCAGACTAAACCAACCCAATTTTTCAATCTTCCCTCAGAGCTAAGGTTTTCTAGACCTTTAATCAGTTTTGTTGCTCTTCTCTGGGCTCTCTCCAATTTGTCCACATCTTTCCTGAAACGTGGCACCCAGAACTGGACACAATACTCCAGTTGAGGCCTAATCAGTGCAGGGTAGAGCGGAAGAATTACTCCTCATGTCTTGCTTACAACACTCCTGCTAATACATCCCAGAATGATGTTTGCTTTTTTTGCAACAGTATTACACTGTTGACTCATATTTAGCTTGTGATCCATTATGACCTACAGATCCCTTTCCATAGTACTCCTTCCTAGGCAGTCATTTCCCATTTTGTATGTGTGCAACTGATTGTTCCTTCCTAAGTGGAGTACTTTGCATTTGTCCTTATTGAATTTCATCCTATTTACTTCAGACCATTTCTCCAGTTTGTCCAGATCATTTTGAATTTTAATCCTATCCTCCGAAGCACTTGCAACTCCTCCCAGCTTGGTATCGTCCCCAAGCTTTATAAGTGCACTCTCTATGCCATGATCTAAATCATTGATGAAGATATTGAACAGAACCGGACCCAGAATCGATCCCTGCGGGACCTCACTCGTTATGCCCTTCCAGCATGACTGTGAACCACTGATAACTACTCTCTGGAAACGATTTTCCAACCAGTTTTGCACCCACCTTATAGTAGCTCCATCTAGGTTGTATTTCCCTAGTTTGTTTATGAGAAGGTCATGCAAGACAGTATCAAAAGCCTTATTAAAGTCAAGATATACCACATCTACCACTTTCCCCCTATCCACAAAGCTTTCTTTGACAGGGTAACAAGCCATCAGGTTGGTTTGACACAATTTGTTCTTGACAAATCCAAGCTGACTGTTACTTATCACCTTATTATCTTCTAGGTGTTTGCAAACTGATTGCTTAATTATTTGCTCCATTATCTTTCCGGGTACAGAAGTTAAGCTGACTGGTCTGTAATTCCCCGGGTGGTCCTTATTTCCCCTTTTATAGATGGGCACTAGATTTGCCCTTTTCCAGGCGTCTGGAATCTCTCCCGTCTCCCATGACTTCTCAAAGATAATTGCTAATGGCTCAGATATCTCCTCAGTCAGCTCCTTGAGTATTCTAGGATGCATTTCATCAGGCCCTAGTGATTTAAAGACATCTAACTTATCTAAGTAATTTTTGACTTGTTCTTTCCCTATTTTAGACTCTGATCTTACCTCATTTTCACTGGCATTCACTATGTTAGATGTCCAATCGCCACCAACCTTCTTGGTGAAAACCGAAACAAAGAAGTCATGAAGCACCTCTGCCATTTCCACATTTTCTGTTATTGTCTTTCTCCCCTCATTGAGTAACGGGCCTACTCTGTCCTTGGTCTTCCTCTTGCTTCTAATGTATCTGTAGAATGTTTTCTTGTTACCCTTTATGTCCCTAGCTAGTTTGATCTCATTTTGTGCCTTGGCCTTTCTAATTTTGTCTCTACATACTTGTGTTTTTTGTTTATATTCATCCTTTGTCATTTGACTGAGTTTCCACTTTTTGTAGGACTCTTTTAGATCACTGAAGATCTCCTGGTTAAGCCAGGGTGGTCTCTTGCCCTACTTCCCCTTGCCTGTGCAGTGGGATAGTGCTGCACACTAAGGGGTTGCAAAGGTCTGCAGTCAGCGAGGGAGTGGAGCATACGGGGCGGGGGCCTTGCAGGGCCGAGGACCTGACTGTCAGAGGGTCTGAACACCTTCCAGGGGATGGGTCTCCAGCCTGCCCAGAAATCCAGCCTGCATCATAAAAACCAAGGCTGCGTGCCAGGAAAACCCATTAACCATTTGGGCTCCGGACACAAGCCTGCTGAAAAGCCCCAGAGGCTGTAGCTCCTCTCGGAGCATTGGATTTCCTCTCTTGCTGGCTTTTATCCCAGCCTTCCTGGGGTTTCGGGGCGACCAGTCACCGCTCAGTCCCACCAGGTTGGAAGCTGCAAGCACCGCTCAGGATTGGGCCTTTAGCAAGGCCGTGACAGCAATGAACAAGTTGCAGAAGCGTGTATGTTTGAACCACAAAGAGAAGTCTATAAATAAAGGCTATTTTGAGCGGTTAGCCATGGCAGGTGATTGCGTGGGGGCAGGGGGAAGTGATGAATTTTCTTTACCAGAGGGTGAAATTCTCCCACGTTAAATAAGACCCATTATGAGCCAGATGAGCGACTGAGAGCCCTCCAGTGGAGCTTGTTAAATACCCGCTCAGGGGCAGGCATGACACATCGCACGTGAGCTGGTAAAGGCAGCAGCCTGAAGGCATGGGGATTGTTTCCCTTTGCAAGGCTGACACCAGAGCTGGGAAAGGGCCCCTCCGATGCCGGCAGCTGCTGCTGTCCCGCCTGATTGGGGCAAACCGGGTGTGTGATGGGGGCTTTTCCCCTCCTAGGACGCTGGTTCCTGCCTTTGCAGGGGCTGGGCTCTGATCCAGGGAGGTCTCTCCTCTCCAGCCTCCGTGGCGCATGTAAAAGAAATTCAAAGCCGGCTTTAATTATCCGAGTGCCAGAAGGATCCAGCTGGCAGCCGAGTCACTGTCTCTAGCACATGGACTCTTTTGAGAGGGCTTTGGAAACATCCCAGCTCTCGGCCCCTCAGTGTGGGGTCCTGCTGGAGCGTGAGGTGGTGCTTGGGACCTGATGTGTCCCAGGCTGCAAACCGGCTGTACGCAGTGGTGTCCTAACTCACCCCACGCAACCCCCAGCCCTGCTGCTTCCCAGGGGCTCGGGCTGTCCCCTCGGTGGGGCTGGCTTGGCCGTTAGCTAGAGTCAATGGGAAGGCTGGAAGTGCAGCTCTTTTCCTGCTGGCTACACATGGAAGAAGCTGCATCCCCTTCGAGAAGGGGCGCCCGGGTTTAATTATAAACTGAAGGGCTTGTCTGCTTTAGGAGTCTGGGAATCTGGGTGGTGGTGATGTGCTGCCGCTGGCTTTAAGGCGGGGCTTGCAGCGGGGTAACGTGTCTGCACTGGGAGCCCAGACACGGGGGGTATGTTGCACTGGTGCAAGTGGTGCTTTACCCTCGTAGACATGTTCCACTAGTGTAGTGTTAACACTGGTGGGTTGCATTAGTAGCGATGCTGGAGTAGAGATCCCGAGTGCCCCAGACAAGCCACCTCCTTGGGAAAGTAAAACTGATCACAGCCCTGATATTTCAGGTGCTGGAAGTGGGACCAGCAGTCCAGGCTCCTTCCAGCAGAGACTAGGATGGTAACCCTTGGGCAGCACATGGGGGGCCGGGCTTGTGAGCCATCCCATGTCACGTCCTCCAAGGCTTTCTGCCACTGTCCCCATTTGCAGTGGGGGGGACACGAGGTGCAGAGAGGTTAAGGGACACTCCCGAGTTCACAGCACCAGGCAGTGTCAGTCGGTTTCCTGACAGCAGCGATTATCCTTGGTGCTCCTCCAGGTTTGTCGATAGCTCCTTTATCTCTGTGCCTCCTGACACCCCGGAGAAGGCCCAGTGACTCATGCTGAATCTGGGGGGAGCTGTTCTGCGAAGGCTTAATTCAGTGAAAACACTGAAGCAGCTGCTTGGCCAAGGGGCACGACGCACTTTCCTGCCCGCATTGTTCTGGAGCACGAGAATAAACCCCTTTGGAGCATAATCGTTGAGCTGCGGGCAGGAGACGCTTACACAACTTGTTCAATAACACGCTTCGGGGAGCAGTGGGGCCAGCCCGCCGGTGGCTGTGAAACGGGGTGGCCTGCGGAGTGGGGCCTGATGCTTGGTACGCAGAGCCCGGCAGGTAGTCAGGGTGGATTCCCCTTTCGTGGTGGGCGGGTGGGGTTCCACTCTGGGTCAGGCCCACACTGAAGTCATCACGTCTGTGTCGCTGTCTCTTCCCCCTCCTGCCCCTCGCTGGGGAAGCTGTATAATTAAATGTGGCTCTGGCCTCAGATCATTCCTGCTTTAAACCCGGGAGCTGGGACTCCTGGGTCCTTGTCCTGGCTCTGCTACTGACCTGTGTCACCTTGGGCAAGTCACTTAACCCATCTGTGCCTCAGGCCCTGGCTCGAGGCCCCTGGGAGAGAGGAAGTGTTTTGAGGAAGGGATTTGAACGTGAGTCGTAACAAGGGGGGTTGAGTTTGGTAGCCGTGCTCCATGCTGGCGAGATGCCGCTGGGGTGGGGGGATATCACCGGTGCTGCAGTGAACAATAGCAGTGACACGGGTGAGACGCTGCCCTGGGGGCCGTGGCTCTGTTCTGGGCACGCAGCCATGGGCGGGGTGGAATGGGGAGTCTCAGGCCGCTGCTGATGCCCCTTTCTCTCCCCAGGAAGGTGATCACGCTGGACAAGGAGGCAGAGGAGACGTTTGGGTTTGAGATCCAGGTGAGTGCCCCCCACCCTCCGAGGGCAGAGAAATCAGCTGGCCCTCGCTCTAAGAAAACCGACCTCAAGGGGGATTCGGATCATGGTTCTGCCAGGCAGCGCTGGCCAGGCAGGCCCCCTGGGGACCCAGGGTTGCGTCTCCTAGCCACCACTCCCGGCTGCGGTGCCGGGGGCTAGCCAGTGCCGCACGGCCAGGCGTAGCTGTATCGGCTCCCACGGTGCAGTTAGCAGCCGTTCGTAGGGGTGGGGTTGCCCCATGCTCGGCTGTTGCAGGCAGCGCTGTTCCCCAGAGCAGTAGCGCGCTCGCGGGGCGGAGGAGCTGCCCTGGTTTCAGCGATTTCAGACCAGACCTTGCTCTGCATTTACAGTATTTTTAAACTGCATCTGAGCCAGGGTTTATTTTTAGCAGCGATGATGCCGAAGTTACAGAAACCGCCCCCGACTCAGTCACGGTTCAGATGGCAGGAGGGGGCCGGCAGCTCACGCAAAGCAGCCATCTGGAGCGGGCTGGGTTTGGGGGCCCGTGTGGGGGGCCCGCGTCGCTGTGCGTTGCTAAGCACTATGCAAATGTTGGTTAAATATGGAACGTTTGGGGTGGTGGCGCCTGACGTGGAGGACGCTGGTGCAGGGACACGGAGCTGGGGGGAGGCAGCGTAGGCAGTCCCTGGCTCCTCGGCTGTAGCAGGGACCTGGGGAGGTAACGCGGCGCTGGGAGATGGATGGTGCTAACCTCGGGGCCGGAGGCTTCCCGTGTAGCTGGCCGGCCGGCCAGTGCTCGCTCAGCCCTTCCCACTAACAAACTGGCGGCTGCTCATTCCAGACCTATGGACTCCACCACCAAGACAAGAAGAGCGTGGAAATGTTCACCTTTGTCTGCCGGGTCCACGAGGGGAGCCCAGCCCAGTTAGCGGGGCTCACACCCGGTAAGTACATCGCGCCAGCTCCCCGGGGCTTGGTCCCCATCTCACACCCTGGCGGGGGGCTGTCAGAGCCAGGGGTAGGACCCAGGCATCCTGGCTTTCAGGGGCAGACCCATATTTCACTAACAATAGTGGCAATAAACCTGCATTGTTCACGGTCTGGTTAAAGGTAAGTGGAACAGAGGTAACCGGAGCTGCTGAGTGGGAGGAGGAGAACTGAGAGATAGTTCAGGAAAAGGCAGCTCCGTGCGTGGCACCTGGGTGTCAGCCCCTCTGCCCTTTCTTGGCCTTGTGTTGTTTGACTGACTCCCAGAGCTCTGGGCTGCAGGGCCCCCGGGAGCTGACTGGTCTCAGGCGCGAGGGGGAAGTCACAAGCGCTGCCCTTCACAATCGCTCCTGTTTGCACGCAGCCCCTGGCGGATGCCAGCCACACAGGCAGTGTCCCCCGCCTTATCACGTCACCGCACATGCCACTGCTTGATGCTGGGCAGCCCAGCGCAGGAAGTGACTCTGCAAAGTTCACTGGGGCATGGGGCCTTCCATGAGCAGATAGAGCGGGGTGGGGTAGCTCTGAGCTCTGCCATGCGCTGGTTCTTGTAATGTTCCCGGCCAGCCAGATTCCAGCTGGAAGCCAGGACTCCTGGGCTCTCTCCCTGGCCCGGGGATGGGGTTGGGGGCTGGTGGTCAGAGCTGTGGTGACCGGGAGCCAGGACTCCTGGGTTCTATCCCTGGCCCGGGGAAGGGGTTGGGGGCTAGTGGTCAGAGCTGTGGTGACCGGGAGCCAGGACTGTGGGTTCTTGTCAGTTGTGCCCTGAGTTTGAGCTGGGGAAAGTCCTTTCTGTGCCATGTGGCTCTGGCTGCCCTGCCCCCTCTGTGCAGGGCTCGGGGTTAGTGTCGGATCCATGGGGTGGGAAGGGGGCGGCTGCGTCAGCCAGTCCCCTGCGGGGGCACCGAGCTGAAGTTCGTGCCGCTGGCGCGGGTGGCTCTAAGTGCTGTGCTTGCCTCCCAGGAGACACCATCACCGCGGTGAACGGGCTGAACGTGGAGGGCATCCGGCACCGGGAGATCGTGGAAATCATCAAAGCCTCTGGGAACGTGCTCAGGTGAGACGCTTGCAGCCGCCCCGGGGGCAGGAGAGCTGGGGCTGGGACGCGTTCCCCGTGCTCTGGGTGGGAGGTGGGGATCAGCTGTCCCCCCGCTCTGGTGCCTGGCTGGCTTGTCCTGGAGGTGGGGCTGGGCCGGGGGGCAGGAGGAAGCAGCCGGTGCTCATAGGAACTGGCTGCCTCAGCGGGACTGGGGGCTGCCCTGGCTCCCGGAGCCCAGCGCCTTGCTTAGAGCAGCTCTTGCGCGTCCCCTGCCGGCTGGGGGTCTCGTAGTCGGGGGGACGGGCCACCCTTGGAGTGCCCCACCTGGCTGCGAGGGAGCTCGCTCCAGCTCCGATCCCTTGGCCTGGCAAGGAGCTGAAAGGAAGGCTCCTTCCCCTCTGCTGCGGGACCGTGTCAGGCCCAAGATCGGCGCCGGGCCCTGCCTCGGGGGGCACGAGGTGAATGAGCTGGTCCCAGGGCAGCCCAAGGAGCCAGGTTTTCCTGTGCTGGGCTGAACTCTGGAAAAACACCCAATGCCTCTTTGCTGCAGGGGCTTGAAGGGGGGGTGTCTGCAGAGAACACCCCCTTTGCTGTGGGGGGGGGCAGGCTGGCAGGGGACCCCCTTTCTCCATGGGGGGGTGCGATTTGGTTGGTCGCTACCAGATGCTCGTCTCTTGCAGGCTGGAGACGCTGTACGGGACGTCCATCCGGAGAGCGGAGCTGGAGGCCCGGCTGCAGTACCTAAAGGTGAGGCTGTGACCTGGAGTGAGCGACCCGCCCGTCCGCAGCCAGGTCCCCGCCGGGCGGCTCTAACTGGCCTGTCTGTCTTGCAGCAAACCCTGCACGAGAAGTGGGGGGAGTACCGCTCGCTGATGGTCCAGGAACAGAGGCTGGTGCGTGGTGAGTGGGGGCGCTGGGCTGCGGGGGCCTGTTTGCTATGGGAGTGAAAAGCTGCCGGAGCAGGGTGGGAACCTCCCCGTGCTGGGATGGGGGTGGGAGCACACCCAGCCCCCGCCCTTCCATATGGGAACTGCTGAGACCAGCCGGGGAGGGGACGAGTGTGCTGGCTGACGCCCTCGCTGCACTGGGCGTTCCAGTGCCCCCCCTGTTCTAACGCCCCTCGTTCCCCCAGGGATCGTGGTGAAAGACCCCAGCATCTACGACACGCTGGAATCCGTCCGCTCCTGCCTGTGCAGCGCTGGGCTCATGAGCGGCTCCCTCTCCTTCGGGAAGATGCTGTCGGGCGCGGGCAGTACATCCAGCTGCGTCAGCACCGCCACCGAGGAGAGCGAGGACTCTGTCTACCAGACCTGCTTCTTTGACTCGGCCGATTCCCTGGACGGGCACTCTGGGCGGGACGGGGGCAGCGCCCCCCCAGCCCTCTCCCAGCGCCGGCCCGCCCTGACCCGCAGTGCCAGCGTCAAATGCACCAGCAGCAGCAACGGGGCCGTGGGCCACTTCTGGGACAGGCCAGGTGACCAAAAGAACTGCACGGTCACGCCCCGCAAGAGCAAACACACCAGCTTCCGGAAAAGGCTCCTAAAGTTCATCCCGGGACTGAACCGCTCTCTGGAAGAGGAGGAGAGCCACCTGTAGGGGGCGCTGGCTGCAGGGGTGGGGGCACAGGGGGGCCATGGAGCAGCCAAGTTTTAAGAAGTTTGTTTAGGTTTATTTATTTATTTATTATCCCAGTTGGTGCCGGTGCCCTGGCAGAGTGTGGGGCCAGGGCTTGGGTTTGAGCTGGGGGGGGCTCTGCTGTGAAGGGCAGAGGGGATTTTTGCTCCCCCCACAGAAGGAGAAACATGTGAAGGGGGGGGGGGGGGGGGGCAGCAGGAGTTGGATCTAGCCCCACCGGCACCCTGGGTGCCTGCTCGTGGGAACTGCTGGAGGAGGGAGCTGGGCCCGTCTGCACGGTTAGGGGGGATTTTCAGGTGTCCTGGGGGAATGGGCCGTGGGGGGCCCTTCACTTCCACGCCTCGTGACCGAACCCCTCCAATAGCTCTGGGGGCAGATGAGCTGATGGGTCGGAGCCTGTTTGGGGCAGCATCAAACGGGCTCTGCCCTCAGGCCAGTACCATCGGCAGGGAGGCCACAGGAGGAGAGAGCAGCGCCTGGAGCAAGAGGCGTGGGAGAGGCTGGCGATGCCCCTGCCTGTGTCTCCAGGGGGCCAGGCGGCAGTGGAAGCACAGGACTCTCCCCGGAAGAGAGGGATCCTGGTGCTACCCCAGCAGCCACGACAAGTGCTCCGAATGGAGCAGTAGCCAGAGGGATCTCCGAGCAGGCACCCTCTTCCCCTGACGCAGCGGGGAGCATCCTGGCCCTGAGAGGCGTGGGGCCCCCCTCCTGCTTTCCGCTGGAAGACAGCCAGCAGCTCTGCTCTGGTCCAGCCACATCCTTCTGTCTCTGCAGCGCCGGGGCTCTGCGTGACTTCCTGCGAAGTCTGGTGCGTCTGTCTCAGCCCTATTTATGGCCCAGGTGCCTGAACCTTGGGGGTGTCTGTCTCTCTCCGCCCGGTGACGCGTTGGGCTGGAGAGAGAAGATCCCTTTGTAACCGCCTGACGCCAGCAGAACTGCTCGTTCCTCTGGCCTGTAGACCGAGGTGCGGGGCTGTCCCGTGGCCGGGCGAGCGCGCTGCGGGATCGGATCCTGGGGATGGCTGGACCACAGGCGGCGTGTCCGTTCTCTGGAACGCGGAGTCAGCACTCGGGGACAGCCCTGGCCTGAGCGCAGGATGGGGCCGTTCTTGGTGCCCTGCAGCCCTTCAGGAAAAGGCTTTGCCTCCATCTTCACTTGCTCCGTCCCTCTTGCTGGGGAAGGGGAGAGAAACTGGTTCCATGGAGCAGGGGCGAACTTCCCAGCAAAGCTGGTTCTTATCTCAGGAAATAGCCACAGGACGAGGGTGGCTCAGCAAGTGAGGGCTCCCCGCTGGACGTGTCTATCAAATGGAGCCCCCACCCCCCAAGCAGCGCTAGACAGCGGAGGGGGGCGGGGCTGTGGCTGGGACACGGGTGCGGTTAGCTGTGGTGGGGGGGTGAGGTTTTGTACAGACACGGATGTCGCTGTTAAAATGCTTGGCACAGATTCTGATCAATACAATGAGACTATTTTGCATCCGCGTGTGGCTGTCGTAATTTCACCTTGGCTCGCTCGCTTCCGGAGATGGGGGAGTGTCCCCGAGGGAGGTGGGGGTCAGAGGAGCGGGGGCGAAAGGACTCGCCCCTGGGGTCCGTGGCAGAGCTGGCTACGGAACCCAGGCATCCGGACTCCCAGCCCCATGCACCTGTCAGCCTTGCATGGGCTGAGTGGCTCAGAGGACGTCTCCATTAAGCTCCTCTGTTAGCCCCCCCATGAGTGTCTGTCTGAGGGGGGCCACGCTTAGCCCTCTTGTGAGCTCTCTCCAGCATAGCCCCCGATGAACTGCTGCAGCCCTTGACTGCACTGTAAATGGAATTGGGGGGGGATCCTGCTGATCAGGACAGGCTTCCCCCTACTGTCGGTGGGGTCTGCTCCTCGATTTCCCAGCCTGCAGGTGCCTCGGGCCAGCCCCTCGGTCGGAGCTGCTCCTCCAGCTCTGCCTGGAGCCAGGAGGGAGCCCCAGCCTTCCTGTGGCTAACGGCCTAATTGCATGTGGGCCGTGGCCTACAATAGCCCTGCATCAAGGCCGCCCAGCTAAGGTTAGGGCAGGGAGTGGACTCGGGGGAGGTCTTCCCGTCACCATGGTGCTGCAAGCCAGCCGTGCGCCCGGCTGGACACAGGCTAGGCCGCCCCAGCTCCCAGCCGGGGGACGGGGTCCACAGGGCTAGTGACGCAGGAGGGTGGGCTGCGCAGACCTGGGGGGTGGGTGATGGGTGGTAACTAGGACGCTGCTCCGGCCTGGCCGAAAGCTGAGCTCCACGGGGCTGGGTGCTGCACAGTCGGTCCCTGCCCCAGTGAGCTCCCAGTCTGAACAGACAAAGGGGGGTGGGGAATAACCCCCTCTCGTCCAGGTGGGGAACTGAGGCAGTGCGTAAATGAAGCAGCTTGCCCAGGGACGCACCTGGAGAGCTGGGAGTTGAACCTGGGTCTGACCCCCTGGCCTGAGGTAGCAGGCGGAAGGGCCTGGAGCAGGGAGGCCGGTGTGGGGAGAGGACGCGCAGCTGCCCAGGGACGGCCCGGGGCCCACCCCGGCTCATCACAGCTCACTGCAGCAAGGCACCCGAGTGCCATGGGCCTCCCTGGAAAACTTCCTGCTGGAGGTACGGTGGGAATGGGGGGGCCGGGGGCCCCAGGGGGGGGGGGGGCGGCCTTAGGGGGGGGGGGGGGAGGTAGCAGTGAGCCCCCAGCTGCGGCATTGGGGGGGAAGGTTGCTGGAGAGGGGCGAAGTGGCGATCCAAGCCAGGGCTGGTGACGTGCGGTGCCCCCAGAGCCGTCCTGTCCATGTGGGGCTCCCTAGAGACCAGCCCAGGTCCCTCCTGCTCATGCCAGCCCCTGGGCGGTTGATTTGCGGTTCTTGTTTCCAGCAGGGTGGGTGGCTCGCCCCCTGGCCGTGTCCTGGGAACGCGGTGCTGGGGAGGGGTGGGCGGTGAATGACGGTGAAGCAGCAATGGTGAGTGTGGGGAGCGCCTGCCCTGTCTTTTTCTAGCAAACCCATCGGGCTGGGGGCTGTGCCACCCCCCACCCTTCTGGGGCGGAGGTCAGCCCAGAACCCAACTGGGAAAGTTTCAAGTTGGGGGGGCCTCCTGGTGGGTCCTGGGATGGGGGAGAGCTGGGGGGAGTCCCCGTCTATGCTGGGCCAGCCACTCTACCTCTCCCGGCTGTGGTTCCCATCTGCCTTGCTGGGCGTGTGAGGCTAACAGACGCTGCAGTGCTGGGGCCAGGGAAGGAGATGAGGAAACTGAGTCCCAAGGAGGCAAAGTGGCTTGGCTGAGGTCATAGGTCAATGACGGAGCTGGGCCTAGGAATCCTCCCTCCTTCCTGGCCAGCGGCTGATGCTGTTCCCTGGCTTTCCGCAGGGAATAAACACCCAGGCTTGTCCCTCTGCGGTGAGCCCCCTAGATTGGGCTCAGCTGGGCCTTTGGGGCCAGCGCCTAGGGAAGCATCTTTAGAGCCGGTCGGTGCAGGCTCCGGGCTGCTCCGCTGCGTGGCCCGGGTCCGGTGCTGCTAACAGCACTTCCTGCGGGTGGAGGGGCAGGGTCTGAGCTCCTGAAGCCGACGTCTCGCCCCCCCCTCCTGCTGCAGCAAAGCCCCGAGGCTGAGCGGGGGGTGGATTTATTCCCAAGCTGCGCAGCGTGGCACGAATCCGCCAGCAGCCAGCCCCAGTCTGCAGCCCCCGGCTTCTCTGCTGGAGCCAGAGTAGCTTCATGTACAGCACCCAGTGAAGGCTGGGCTTGAAGGGCCCTGGCTGGGGCTGCCCGACAATCCAACCTCCCTTCGGGGCCTGAGCCAAGCCAGCAGCAGCCTGAGTGGGAATCACCCCCCCCCCCCCCCCCGGGACCGGGAGTCGGGGGCTGGATCTGGATCTGGATCTGGTGGCAGTGGGCGGGAGTCTGAGCTGGCTCCCCCTGCAGGCGAGGGCAATGCCTGTGTGACCACCTTTAATGTGCAGCCTCTAATGGGCCGGGAATTATCCTGGACTTGGCAAATAAACTGCAGCCATTGGCCTGACACCTCCAAAGGGTTTAGCAGTGGTTGCTAGGTAGATATTGCTCACGTTGCCCCTGGAACGGATGCAAGCAGAGCTCAAGTGTGGGTCATAGCCCCTGTACTGCTAATGGAGGTTCCCCTTCAGCTCAGGTGCTAACAGGGCTGTGCTTTTGGAGCAGGAGAGTCTGAGTTCTGGCCCTGCGGATGTCACGAGGCTGCAGATTTGTTCTGACCTCTCTAATCTGTTTTCTAAACCACTAGAAGTAGCCGTGCTGGGATCTCTGGCCTGGGGCGAAGTACATCACCAGGAGCAGCTCCTGGCTCTCAGAAGGGAAATGCGCTTGCTGCTATTCTGCCTCCTCTATGCATTTAGCTGCTGAAGCAGCAGCCCTGGGCCCTTGTGCTCATTAGACCTTATTACACGTTTAGAGTAACATACTCTCTAGGCGAGGAAAATTCCCACTGAGGTAACGATAACAGAGCCAAGGGCTTGGTGTTCTGGCCAAATTCCAATCTCCGTAACTACGTCTCGCCTGCCTAAACTGCTCCTTGGAGTTTGCATAGGAGATTCCCTGCCTTCAGCTGGTGTAGTCCCCGGCTGTACCACTCATGCTTCCCTGAGGTGGCTGCATTTCCGTGGGAGGTGCAAAGGCTCCTGTTAGCTGCCGGACCGCGTGCTCTGGAATCCTCGGGGCCGAAGGCGCGTTAGAAAGGTCAGACTGGCTGGAGTGCGGCTGAGAGGGTTCTGCGCATGACGGACGTTTCTCCTCCATCAGCCGTGCTGCCGGCACGAAGTCAGGGGCCTCTGCTCCTGCTGCAGGGAGGAGAGGTTGGCGTATCCGGCCACGTCGCTGTGCTGCTTCTAGGATGGTGCCTGATGCTGTCCGGGGTCGTCCCCTGGTGACAGCTAAAGACGCAGGCTTAAGCGAGAGCTTTCCGTGGCCTAGGCTGGCAAGCAGCCCCTCTGCACGGCCTGGGGCGCTGAGGACTGGG